GGTCGAAAAATCGGATAAGGGCTGTAAATGGATCCCAAAAGGATCTCATTTATAGTCATGTAGATGAGTATATGTACAGAATGTGGTGCGACTTTTCTGTTGACAGTCCGATGCTGAATTAGGAAATGTTTCTGTCCCATGTTCGCGAAAGATACCCATTGTAACCTTTTTATCCTATTTTTTATGCATTCTTCTATAAATATACGTTACCACTTATCACAAACGCCTCTTTCTTGTGATTGGTCCGTTCAAGGTCGTTTGCTGATTGGTAGTTACTGGTGTCTAAAGTTTAACTTTGCCGATCTACTAAATGTTCCTTTACTGCAAATAGCTTGAAAGTTTTCAAAAGTCAAGAAGTGTTAGACGGTCAACTTTTTCCATTTAGTTTAAAAAAAGACGTCGCAAAGATTATTGGACAGTGGACGTTGAAACTCAGACCAAGAAACAAAAACTGCTGTTCAGTGCTCCTGGAGTTTTAAGCACTGTCTACTTGATTTTTCCATAAAGACCTAACCCTGCTATTAAATTAAATTAAAAATACCGATGAGGCTTGGATCACTCACAAAAATATCTGTTTATTTTAAGATGATGTGAATATGATCCGATTGAAAAAGCTAAATAGGAAATCAATACATTTTATTTATTTGTAACAGACTTATATTCATGCTAAGTTATAGAATAACTAGCTGTACAGTTACTAATGAAATGAAATTAGCTGAACAAGCTTTGATGAATAATTCTGATGAAAGCTTATTGGTTTATGTAAAAATCTTAACATTACTCACATAAACATGCGCTAATTACTGAACGAATAGAATACTTTCCTTATTTGTAATTTTATGATGACTCGTACTACTCAACGTTTTACCATTGGTTGGTTGGAAAGTGTAGTGCATCATATTCATTTAAATCTGATTTACTACTGCTTGTTTTGAATCAATTTTGATTTTCTCATTGATTGATTGATTGCTCCGAAATTTCCGCCCTCTGTTAACATGTCGGCTGCTAGTACGTACACTTCGATGATGTCTTAGGATTAAAATAAATAGCTTTCTGTCAGGAGTCAGTAAATGGTCTGAGTCTAACGGTCTTAAACTGAATCCTTCTAAATGTCAAACTGTTAATTTTAGATTAAGATGTAAAAGACAGTTAAAAGAAGCCGTCGATTCTTATAACAGTTGTAAGATTGACGACAATAATATAGGAAATAAATCAGGAATTAAGTATCTTGGACTTATTCTCTCTTCTGATCTCTCCTGGTCTTCCCAAGTCTTAGCGATCTCCAGTAAAATATTCCACCTGGCAATTTACATTAGGAAGCTAAGGTTCTCTGGTATAACTCAACCTTTCCTCCGACAGTTCATAAACTCTTGCATCCTACCTATTCTTCACTATTGTTCACCCTTATTTTTTCCTGGTTTGCTTAAAAAGGACCATGTCACAATTCGTAGAATGCTGAAGACGGTCAGTAGTGTGAGTGGTGTCCCAGTGGAACACCTAGTTAACGTCGTTGTTGATAGGCACTTAACCTCATGCAATAAATTTGCTAGAGGGATTTTGTCTGACTTGAAGCATCCACCTTACCCTCAGCTTTCACCTCGCATCTCCTCAGGTAGAACAAGAAGTAACTTCAGAGAACTGTATGCTCGCACGTCTAAGTATAAAAATTCTATGATACCATACTTGGCACGTATTTTATGTGATGAAAGTAGCGTCAGGCAAGAATTGACTAACCTTTTTTCATCTAGTAAATAAACAATCTCCTCCATCCACCCTTATATACCTTCAAGTTTTACTTTTATGATTTCTGCTATATTTATGGTCCTGTTGATTCTTTGTTTTCACTTTCATAACTGCAAACACCAGCTTATCTCTATGACTGCTGTAATCTTTGTTTTTCCCCTCACCATATCACGTAAAGAGAACATTATATTCAATATTTTTAAACATACTAGGATTTCTATACCGCATCGACAATACTGTGTGAAGCGAGCCCACGGCAATTTTCACTTGTATTATTATTATTACCTTAGCTGTTATCATTACTTTTATTTCCATTTTATATGCTGCATGTTTTTGAAATTACCCCTATTGTAAATGTGGAAAATTTTTTGTGTGACTAATTTTTATTTATAATTTGAGGAAATTAGATGCACTATTGTGATTAATGCTGAAAATTCCATTCTGTATCACAAGTACTGTTTTTGGAATAAAGTAAATCACTGTTGTTATTGAAATGAAGTAATTTAGTGGATATGCACTTTTCACTCCAACACAGTCACTATACATGAAATTACTGATTTACTACTGATTGTTTTCTTCAGTATAGACATACACCACGCAAACATGCAGAGATGCGGAGTACATACCGATGGACATGTGTGCGTCGGTGGTATAGCGGTTAGGACGCTCGCCTACCATGCACATGGTCCGGGGTTCGATCCCCGGCCGGCGCACTCCTTTACCTCGCTAAGCCAGAACTAAAGCTGATGAAGAGGAAAGGTTAGGCATGAGGCTAGCAACCCAATCCTGTAAAAAATAAACACTGCTACAGAAACTTCAAGCCTCTAGCTTGAGGCCCTATGTTCCACTGTGAACGTGAAGGGATAAAAAAATATAATAAAAAATACCGATGAACATGCAAAGAAAGAAGCAGCCCCACTATTTGGGCCGTTGGCAGTAACTATGACTTCAAGAAATTTGGTGCAATATTATGCGTTTAATGAAACTTGATCATGTCTTTTGGAAGGAACTTATTTGTGTTTCACTAAAGAAATATGCCGTACAAATATTTGTAGCAGGATAATAGTATATGTTTAGTGTGATTAGTTCATTCATTGGCTGATCTTTCCTGAAGATTCGTATAGAAATAGTTTGATATTTGAATTCATTCTAGTGAGTAAACATGAGTGAAAGATTGTTTTCCTCATATTCGCTTTCAGTACTTTCGTGCAAAACACGACCAAAAATTGAAAAAAAAGCCTTCTTGTAGTTCAGGTAAACCTAAAAGGCAAAAATAACCTCAGTGGAATGTAACTGACTGAATACTACACTTCAGTGGCTATATTTCAACTACAAATTAGATAAACAATAACTTCATACATTTTCGGTATTCAGCATATTAGACATTCGGCTGATCAAGTGCTAGAAAGCTTGAAGTTCCGGTCAACCACTTTGCTGTAAGGACTATCACTTGTTTGGGAAAGATGTGGCTGAAGGCAACCTAAGATTTAATAAAGAGCGTTAGCTTATAGGTTTGCTTAGCAACTCAAGAAGGTTACAGTTCATAAAATTGGAAACTCGCTCAGTGACCTAAAATCACTAATATGGATGATTAACCAATGCAATCAAAATGCAGTTACCAAGGGAATGAGTGATTGATGACACTCTGTTTCTGTTTGCATGAGTTTGCTTTGAGACGTTTGATTGCAATTGCTTCAGCAAATCGAAGTAAATTCGCTGTCCTTTGTATGTTTAATGTTTTAAAGTATTTGAAAATTTTGACCAAATGACCTGTATCCATAAGGTGTTTGATGATTGCACTTTGCCAATGTCTGCTTCCTTTTGGATATGTTTGTTGAGATATGTTCAGGAAACCGGATAGGATCCCTTCTCTTTGCTCTTCCAATGTATTTGCTGTTGCAAGTGAATGCAAATTTATTAGCGCAATTGGAGGTAACATCAGCAGGGTACTTATCCAGTTTGGATTGGCTTATAGGACATGTGGTGCTGTATAGCGTTACGAGCTCAGCTGCAGGGGAGCATCTTTTATTGCTGCTTTCATTCTCTTGTCAATCTCTTGTGATGCTGCCTGTCTCTTGGATAGGAGACAAATGAACACTCCCTTATTTTCAACAGTTGGATGTTTTATTTTCTCTTTCTTTTCTTTGCAATGTTTTTAGATAAATCCCTTTGGATACTCATTTTCCACTAGGCATTTTTCAGCAAAGCTTAATGCTTCTCCCGCCTTGTCAGGTGAATATAAAAGCCCGTTTCTGCCGTACATTGTCCTTGTTAATCCAAGACTGGAGCTTATAGGACAGAAGCTGTTGTAGTGAAGATATTGTCTGTTCTACATCTGGATTCAGTATAACACTAATTTGCCCTAAAACCTGCAGTAAATAAACTTAGAAATTAGGGAAATGTATAACAAATCATTCGTGTGACATATTGCTGGTAAATATAAATATTGACTTTGATTTGTTAATAGTAGACAGCGGAGTCCTGAAGATGTGTTTCCTTCAACTTGGGATTTTCCATAAATACTTTAAGAATTATAAATGACCTAATATTTTGGTGCGTTTTAATCAATGATGACATTGCCTTCATGCAGTCTAGGATATACGACATCAAACTCTCTCTCTCGCGCGCGCACTAAGTGTTATTTCCACTTCTGAAAATAGCATGATAAATTTGATTAAGCATCTTCACAAAGTTTAAAAAATACAAAATGGTGGTATTATTATTTGAGCAGTAATTATTCCCATAGAGTTACACGGCAAATAAATGATTCCAAAACTGTCTCTCTTCTGAGAAAGTCGATTTTCTACGGCAAGTTTGAAAATAGAAATAATTAGAGTACATATTCATCCATCTATTGTCGTGTAAATAATGCAATCAATAACTGCTCAATGTACTTTGAATTGATTTCAAGCTAAAATGTTACACTGATTCTATTAGGTTATTTAAACCTAGAAATGATGCTTACTTTGAGTACTGAGCAGACACATGCATAAACACGAAAACAGTAGAGGGTTAGAAAAGCTAAATTAAGTAGACTGCATGGAGAGATAAAAAAAATACAGATTCAAAACTCATGCTGATATCACAGGCAAGTACAAAAAGAAAAAAGAAAGAAAATGAGACCCTTGTACTATTGTTGAGTTAGTGAAGCCACCCACTGAGCACCCTTCTTGTTAAACATTAAATGCCTATTATTATTGTTTATGGGGGATGATAAAAAGTGTGCCATGAGACTTTTCTATAAAAAAACAATAACTATGTATGAAAGATGCAACGGTAATTATGGATTTGATGAGTCTATATATAAACATATATGTTTCCTTCATAGAGATCTTTTGTAATAAGTACAAAATATACTCATGTTTTCTTACCAATCCCAAAGAAGTGTGCTGCACTGAAAAACCAATGGGAAGTCAGAATACCAGAATAATCGTCACAATGTAGATGCATGTGAAACACTAAAAATTACTGATTTTTGTTGAATGTGAAATAAAAAAATACATTGATTACTGCGTTCCTTTTGCATTTACTCTGTTATACCATCAATGGACATGTGTATTTATTTCCCTTCACGTTCCCCAGTGGAACATAGGGCTTCAAGCTTGTGGCTTGAAGTTTCTGTAGCAGTGGTGTTTATTTTATAGGGTGAGGTTGCTAGCCTCATGCCCAACCTTTCCTCTTCACCAGCATTATTTCTGGCTTAGCGAGGTAAAGTAGTTCGTCGGCCGGGGATTGAACTCTGGACCATGTGCATGGTCGGCGAGTGTCCTAATCACTATGCCACCAACCCACCTGGACATGTGTATACGTCTATATATTGGCTTATTCTTGAAATAATGCTCTTAACCTGTGATCTGTTGGCTTTCACAGCTAAGGGATACCATGTATCGATAGACCTAACTATTCTCTGTATATACTTGTGTTTCACTAAGAATTAATATTTTTCAAAAGTAATTTGTGGCTTTATCAAGATATTGGAGTGCATTTTCAGTTTTAAAAACTTAGTATTACGTTTCATATATATTTCAAAGTAACATTTTGAAAAGGTTTCAAGAATCACACTCCGTAAAAGGGATAACACGTTTTTCTGTATACTTATTTGCCAGTCAGTCAAAGAAATATTTAACTGTGTGGAATATTTCCATTTTATGAATTAAAAGTCAGTCGGAACAAAAAAATATTCTTTTCAATAATTTCTCTTCAGGTTCTTACAATTATAAAATATAATATTTGTTGTCATTGCAATAAGATCGACCAAATCCGAACTTTGTATCCAAAAAGAGCACGTTCAGATACTGTTCCTACCATGGCCAAACTTGGTTTAAAGTTTCTTCTTCTCACAAAGAGTGTCTCTTCCTCTTATCCCTTTTGGGTTTTTTCTCTCTTGCTTTGCTTATTATTACAATTAATAATATTATTCGTTAGAGTTTACACCCTTCATTCAAGCATTCTTTCACCACTATTGAATGTTTCATTTATATTGCCCGGATTTATCATTAGTGATGTTATCTGTTTTCTTGATATATATGCCTCCAGCTGTTTCATTGCACATATTGGTTATTTCATTGTGAAATCCTCATAGCAGTCTTACTATCTCCTCTTTAATACACACTAATTTGTACTAGCCACCCACCTGACACCTTTTATAACCCCAAAGTTACTTGTCAGTTTTTCCTACCCCAAACTGTATGCGTTTATTATGACTAATCACCATCATCGTCTATCATTTCACAATATTTCGTAACTGAATTCAGCCTAGCACGTTTGTCACACAAATACGACTATTTATTTTGACACCATGTGACTGCTGATCTGTTATTCCGTATAAAAATGTATCGACTTCATGACTGGTTATTATTGTAACGACAATAAATAGTATATTATACAATTGTAAGAACCTGAGGGGAAATTATTGAAAAGAAATATTTATTTTGTTTAAATCCTGCTTTATTAAGCTCTGCTACTTGTTTTTAATATCTATAAGTTGATGGTCTGCATTCATTTTGGTTTTATAGTTTAATATGTTCTTGATTTCATGGAGGATTTCATCATGAGCTGACATCAGTTAGAGAACCACTAGAAAACCTGGGAATCCTGGACAGCTAGACCTGGGTTCAAACACCGGTGGGTGCGTACTGCGAAGAGTCCCAAACTAGGACGAAATGGCTGTTCACTACTTCCAGGTTTTTCAGTGGTTCTCTAACTGATGTCAGCTCATGATGAAATCCTTCATGCAATCAAACAAAATCCCTACAAAACCAACACTTGAAAATTAATATGTTCTTGTCATTTCTTGATAAAAATGGATTATTATTATTGTGATTTGAAATCAGCTCATATAACTGAGATACCTGCTTTTTGAATAATCAGAATGCAAATTGTTTACTCTAGTTCATGATATTTTTATTATCTGGTTACATCTTCGACTAGGAATCTGTACAAACGCCTATTTTCCAATAGACAGCAACTTACTGCTACGGATTTCTCAAGGCGAATGGAGAATAAATATTGCAGGTTATTAGAGTCTGTCTTGAATGGAACAGTGTTGCTTTAAGTAATGTATTATTACTGATCATTAAAATACCTGAAGAGTCTACACGAGAAGTAAATTCTTTTACAATAGATTATTCTGAGAATTTCAAATGAACACGTTTCTCAGGATAAGGCCATTATTTTGGACAGGTAAAGTTTACTGTGAAGCAAAGAATGCTTAGAAGAGTTGGAATTTTTGAGAGAAACCTATCAGGAAAAATATTTACATTCCTCTAGCGTAGGCAGTTGAAAAAGTTACTTCCTAATTTCAAATTATTAGACAAAGACCTCTCATGTAACAGTCACTCCAGTAAAGCTTTTGATTTAGATTTTAGTTACTTAATAACGTTTAAGTAGTATAAAACATATTCAGATATTTGCATGGTAAAAAGCCCGTGGTTCGAACGAAATTTTTGTTTGTTACAATGTACTTTCATTAATTCCTCAGTCATAATTACTTACATATCTTTGGTCTAAGCTAGTTCTCTGCATGATGCTGTGGGCTGATGGAAGTCTTTGTTTAAATGTCTATCATCTGAAGAATTTGTCTGCATATGATAGAGAATTTATATGATGATTTTGATGTGTTGTGTTTCTGAGCTGATAGTCATCTCAGTAAAAATCAGAATTTGTCTGCATATAACATTGCAAAAGAGTTATAACAGGCATAATTCATCTATACAGAATATAATTAGTTCAATTTGAGGCCAGGGTGGATTTAAAGAAGATTTTTAAAGGCTTTCTACCATTTTTATGATGTTAAATAGACTACTTAGCTTTCAAAAATGAATACTTCATACCTGTTTCTTCTTAGTTTCGGACTCTTTAGTACAGCACACACACACAAATCCGCCTGATATCGATCTAGCAATCTTCCAGGAGTTGCATTACCAATCAAGTTATTGGGTTGAAATCCAGTGACCCGTGAATTGTACTCTATCTCGATTCATGCTACATCGTCGCTACCTTTTGACACCATTGGTTAGTATTTAATTTATTTCCACCGAGGGGGGTATCCTGTCGGCTAAATGAAATAGTGTGAAGTCACAGTTTCCAGCCACTAGCATATACTCTATGTTCTCAAAAGTTGTGAGTCTTGAATGGGTCTAATCTTTCTATGTTCAAAATCTTTACTCTTTATGGAAGATATACTTTAATTGTACATTATATTACTGTCTAAGATAACGATTTATTTTTACCAGGTGAACAAAAGACATTTTCCTCTGGAGGGTCAGAAATACGCAAATCTGAAGATCAGATAGATGGTAGCTATCATTCAGAACCAATAAAAAGAATTCAGTCACTTGCTGAAAATGTTCGAGATGAAATTATCAGCTTAGAAGAAGTGAAACCGATATTGCATGATATAGCACAGGAGATGGTTCAAGGAGTAAGTACTAGTGTATTCTGAAGTACTTTTAGTTCGGCGCCCAATTATTTGGGAACTACTCTGTCAAATATCGACCACAATTCATATGAATTACTTTTCTTCAACATTAATTTTTTTTCTTTATATATGTCGGTTATGGTTAGCAGATAGAAAACGGCATTGCTATCCACTTGCTAATGGTTTTGAAACAAATCAAATCGTTATTCGTTTTCAGACCAATTTGCACTTCCTGTTTATTGATTATTTTGGACCAAAATGTTCTGTCTGTACTGACATGTCAGCTCTTAGTACTCATGCCTCAAATATGTCTGAGGATCAACGTGATGTTACTCTAGTTGATGGTGAGTTGCAGTGGAGTTCATGGTGTGGACTACATCCTATTCGGGTTTCGTCAGCTGCATATGCCTGGATTCCCAGTGGTGCTGATTCCTCTGAAACTCAGTCCAAAATAATCAATGAACGGGAAATGCCAATTAATCTAAATACAAATAATGACTGATACCCATCTCAGAAGGCGTAGCTCATTTGATTTAGTGGCCTGGTAAGAGCACCATCACTCACCAGCAATGCAGTTGACAAACTCTAAGAAGGAGGAAATGTGCACCCTACAAGATTCTACTGTTGATCACCATCAATCAGAATTGAAAATCAAAGTAACTTCAAAACTTTAAGACACAGTTACATTTCACGTTATATAACGTCTATAAAAAACTTCAGGAAAGTAATACCTTTATCGGAGGCTGGTCATTGACTAGTGTAGTGCGTCTAGTCCTTTTTTTGGTGCAGACTGAATTTTATCAGTCAAGTTTGCAGTGAGGCTACCATTCTAGGGGGCTCGTCATCACGGCGCAATTTGAATTGTTGATATTAGATGGTTGGAGGCAATCAGCAGGAAGCCTTTGACTCAGGTTTTGTGCTAGTTGACACTCGTCATCAAGGCGTATCTGCAACCGTGAAGGAACTCATGTCCCTTCCGAGGTTCGAAGCCGCGTCACCCAGTGCTGCAGTCAGAGACGTGACCGCTGAGCTATTCGGGCTCACGGTTGACCTCCTGTAGGACTGTATTAGATATTTTGGTCCGAGACTGGTCGGTAACTAATGTAATGTGTCTAATCCTTTGTTTAGTGCAGACTAATTTCTACCACCGCTACTGAAACTGCAAGCTCTATGTTCCACATGGCATGCAAAGAATGAAAAAGATTTGAAGAGGGATTTCAGTGCATTTTGATGGATTTGAAGTCTTTGTGTTGAGCAAAACTCAAATTTATTCACATTTCATATATACGAAAGACAGATTGTCATTGATGGCGAGGAACTTTCTCTATTATAAACCTCTAATTCCACCTAAAATTTGCCTGACGTTAGCTTACAACTTTCATTTTTTTTTCACACACTCATGATGACTTTTGTATCTTCCACTCTTTGTGAAGCCAAGTGTCTCACTGATTTTTAACACTTCAATGTTATCAATGAATTAGGCGGCTGTCAGGCTCATTTATTAAATATTTATTCAGCATTGCTATCGACTCCTTTGACTGTTGATTCAGACATTGAAATCTGTCTGGTCAACGATCCGTCTTCTGTTTTACTTAGGCTTGCGTGTGGTAGTGGTTTCGTTGTGGCTGATGTTGTGATTTGTGGTTAGATCAGCTTTCAGTAGTGCACTAGGTACATATTGCTCGCAGTTACATCATTCACTTATTTATTTTATTATGTTGATGTGCTATACATTGAACTTTTTCCTTTGAGAATTACAGATGACGTACTTCACAATGTTTATTTCAAATAAATAACATCGATCTTTATGTAGACAGTTACAAAATGATAATGCATGTCTATATTTCAGCTGCTTGAAGACTCCATCCCAGAAAATGAATTAACATTAGATGAGGGAAGAATATTCTTTTCCCTTAGACAGTATGAAAGCTATTAAATGGATTTCTGTTTCTTTAATTAATGGGTATGAAATGGCAACATTGAATTCATTTATAGATCCCAAAGGAGTTTGTAGAGTGAAATTAGTCATTATTTTGTAGTCAACTTGTAAAAACAGAGTTTTAGTGAAATTATATTTATTCGAGAAAGTGTTGACGTAACTGCTGAGTGGAGGGGAAGTGCTACCAAGATGTGGTTTTGCGCATAGTATATATAGCAATCGTCACAGCAGATATTCTAGCTGTATAAAAAAGTTGATAAAACATTTTTAGAACTGCCAAACGTAACATCTGTTATGATTACAGCCTTCCTCCGGGCCCGTAATATAAAATCAACTACATGAGAGAATTCAACTGATCGCTCCTATTCCACCTATACAAGTGTGGTGAAAAGAAAGTGCAGCAAGTTTGATTTGCGATAAGCTATATCTTCACTGGTAATAGTTATGGAATTCTACAACATTTGTCATCTATTGAAAACAATCTCTTTTCTATGCCAACATGTACTTTATTCTGTTTGCGAGCATTTCTTGAATTCCACTGGAACCAAGTGAAGCTTATTACAGTTATACACAGTCTGATAAGTGCTAACCGTGAAGTGCATTTAATTCTACTTAAGTTTTATGAACTATTTTGAAACCACAGAAGATCCATTTTGATACCAAGAGAGTTAGTTTAGTAGACAAACTGAAGTTTTCACGACAATCTACGGTGCTATGTCACAAAAGTCTGTGATTATGTGTTAATAAGAAGCTGCTAAAACCAGTTAAACTAGGCTTAGACTTGATTAAATCAGAATCAACTGGCTGAGCCAGGATCTTTTATTAGTAATGGAATTGGACAACGTAGAAGCCTGACATTTTGCGACTAATACAATTAATTATTTATTGGCTTAACTTTCGGAGGAACGTGCTGTTTGTGTATGATCTCTTTTTGTATAGCAAAATCGAATGGTTTTCACCTGCACAGTCTAATCTGTCTCCTTTCTTCATTTTTCTGGACTCTGGGGGTCAGAAGTAATCGGTGATCAGTATTAGTCTCGAACCATCCAATCATTAGTGATACAGTACTGTTTACTTGTTGACAATGTTTCAGGCACTACTTATAACTCAAGATCTTATGTTATGAGCCCAGTAAATTCTGCTTAAAACGTAGGACTCAAACCAATAGTCCTCCGATTACCAACTCAGTGATCTACAAACTTAAATGTGAAAGATGACTGCTAACCAAATCTTGTATATACTAAGTGATAATATCTGAATAACTTTTTGACATCATATTAAACACTAAACACTTAACAAATATCGATTTGAATAATTACCAGAAAATGATGGTGTGACGAAATACTGATTATTGAACTCAACCCGTATATCCCTTACTTTTCAAAAAAATACCTCTATAGGTCATTGAAGGTAGTGAAGAAAAACTGCTGAAGTTTGTGGAATTAGTGGAACAACAACAAGAACAACTTGAAAAAATTCCTGACACTGTAGAAGAAATAAAGACTATTGTAAGTGTTTACATCCATTTAAATATTGAACATAAATGTTTAAATCACTATTCCTTAATTCAATTTATTTGAACGGGAAAACAGTAAGCATGGATTTTTATGTGTCCAACAGTGAAACTCTGATCTTATCCTTCACACTCTAGTTTATATCGAGATTTCTTATGCGATTTGGTATCTAATCGTCTTGGTCACACGATGTAGTAACTACACATACATATTAATATTTGCATTGACATATATTCAGTGAACCAAGCCATCTTAGCAATCAGTAATCAATAACTCTGCAGATTACTTTTGAAAATGATGGAGAAGATTTGTAGCTCATGTGGATGATATTGACGTAATTTGTATCCTCTGAAATAGATAATTTCAGGAGGCCGAAATTAACCACTGAGTCATGAAGAAAATAAGTGTGACAGAATGGTACAATGGGTGTTGAGTTTCAGCATTTGTGAATGGCGGATACGCTAGAGATTCATCAGTACAACCTGGAACGCTAGCGCCGGAAAGATTTATTCAGTCTCTCGTTCTACCATGGTCTTGATGTCTTTCCTAATCGTTTGCTTTTGTTTTTATTAATTATTTCACTATCAAATCGTACATTTTGCTCAGTTTTTCATTCGCTTTCTTCGCGCTTTTCAAGTGAATACTCAAATACCTTATATCTCATCACATAACAATTTTAACCTTATAAAAATTTCAAACCTTTACTTCCGCTATGTTGTTAACTATTACTCAATTCGTATCTCTAGAAATTACTCCTAAGTATACGTTTCAATTAAATTATTCTTTTTTACTTAATAATAGACTACTATACGTCTTTATTAAATATAATTTCAATTGTACAACGTCTGAAGATGAGTTTGTGGATAATAGATGGTTTATTTATGAAGACATTGCCTACAAACCAACACAATCACTTTGCTTCATTCCGTGTAGACCGAAAGACCCAAAAACCAAAGATGAGAAGTTAATATTATCTACAAAACAAACTTTAGCAAATGTGAGAAACATTACACTGGTCAGAGTGGACGTCCTCTACGTCTTTCCGTCTACAAACAGAAACAGGCTGTGAAAATACATGATATCATTGCATGCTGACAACTGCTACTGGGAAGATATACAAATCTTAGACAAAAGAAACACTTAGAATGCCTGAGAATTCCTGGAAGCTTAGTACCTAGATGAAGCTACAATCAACAAACATATCGACACGTCAAATTATTAAACCAATTAGACCAATCACAACCAAAGTCATAAAGAGAGACAGTTATATCTGTCACGAAGAATTCAGAAAAATAGCTGACCTCACATAAGTGCCTTTTGACAGTAAGTTTATGTCCGTGCTGAAGATGTTGTCTAGATGGAGAATGAAGGCTTCGCAAATGAATCATCCAATTCAGAGAACCCGATTACACCAACACTTGGAAAAATTACTTTTAAGGGCAGTCTTTTGAATTGTTCATAGCATACTTATGATCTAACTTCTCAGACCTTTATTCAAATATAAAACTCTACTCATTTAGACAAAGTTGATGAAAGCAGAGACAACAGAAACTTCAAATCACTTTTTACTCTACAGCTTGAAAGACAGTGTGGAAGCCTCAAGCCACTTAATATACTTCCTTTGAGTATAAGACGTTTTAGTGTTTATTTTACTGAATTAACGAGATATTGAAGAATATAGAGTGCAAACAGCGTCGGTGGCACAGCGGTTAGGACGCTCGCCGACCATGCACATGGTCCGGGTTTCGATCCCCAGCCACGGACGCACTCCTTTACCTCGCTAAGCCAGAACTGAAAGCTGGTGAAGAGGAAAGGTTAGGCATGAGGCTAGCGACCCCATCCTGTAAAAGTAAACACTGCTACAGAAACTTCAAGCCTCTAGCTTGAAGCCCTATGTTCCACTGGGAACGTGAAGGAATTTAAAAAAATAAAAAGAGTGCAAACAAATATAAATTCTCTATTTTGAAGAAGCACTGTCTTACTCTAACGTTCATTTCTTAAGAAACATTAAGAGGTATCAAATTTCGATGTAAATAAGACTGAAAGTATAAAAAAGTTCTTTTTCAACAAAATGACGAAATACTAGTCCGTAAATCATAGTGTGATTTTTGCGACGTGATATACTACCGATTGCATAATATGAGTGGTCGGATACCAGTCACATCTACTGGGAGAGCTTACTAGTCCGATCTAAGTGATCTTATCAACGGGCTGCCATTTCACTGGTTTGATGGTCAAGCTCATCAGAGGTGTACTGGCTTTACTCAGCCTAGAGATTCGAATCAGTTACAGCCATCCGACCTGTGCTTAGCTACACTGATGAAATGTTAATGTATTGAATCGAATTCTCGATTTGTAATTTAAACTGTTCGAGGTGAAACTTCATCACAGTTTCCTTAGGATTTCCACTTATGGTGTCAAGGAGATAATAGTAATAATTTCGATTTCTTGAGGAGACTGGTGAAATCTCACCTCATTCCGTGTAAGTGACAAATAGCAAATTTGATAAAATTTGAATTTATTGACTTGATCTTACTGGGGAATGAGTTTCAATTGATTATCATAAGGAATCTTTGACTCACAACTGATACCAGAAATTAGTTCCATTATTTCTGTAGGCATGATAAACATGCTAATTAAATCGTATGCATTGATGTGCTTCTCCTTTGGTATTTATGACGTCAAGAGGCCTGACGTTGTTGTTTCTGGTCATACAATGAATACTGTCTTAAATATCTACATTAACAGTAGGAATATCTTCCTTCAAAAACACACACCCACACCGACATATACACATAAATCCATCACCGAATCATACGCTATGAGGGCTATCTAATGGGATGAAAAGCGTCTATTTTTAGCTCACTAATGCCATTTTTTCTAAATTTTAGTAAGTTTAATTCCTCACAAAGCCAAAGAAGACATTTAAAATCCACAGGGCATAGGCGAAAAAAAGGAAGCAAACTAGACATAGCTAGTGGTAAAAGTATTTTTTAATTAATGGAGTTTTTGATAAACATTTTGACAGATACTAAGTAGTGTTCAGTAGTAAAGTCAGAGATTTCCTTAATTAAATTAGTTAAACCAGTCTTTAAGATATAGAATTAGTACCATCCATACTTTATCACTGGTTAACAATATAATTACTGCTGTCCACATAACTATAACGACAAGAAAAACGAGATGTTATCCCTAAATGAAGGTTCCAACTATCTAACTACAGACAAAGCTGAATGAAATAAAGTGAAATTATACACAATAATTATATGCATCCACTAGTACATTATCAATAAATAGAATTCTACATAGTAGAATCTCATTTATGACAACAACATTACCTATAAATATAGATTGAGTTTTAGAGGCTAATGCAAAAAATAAGAGACTGAAATACTTCCTTTGCCGCCAAAAATCTTCTTCTCGTTCATAGGCATCCGACGCCTCTAGTATTTGAAGAAGTTGAAAATGAAGAGAAATTGGCAGGTTTCTGTCAATTCAGTAAATAACCTTAGCGACGGAAGTTAGTCAAGAGTTCTAGAATAAATTTCTCATAACTTTCCATTCCCCCTGAAAAATAATTTCAGATAATGGTCTTTTATCCCTGTGAAAAGCTACGCGCGATGTGTCTTATTGAAGAAAAGAACATGTACCAGTTAAGTTATATAGAGATATTTAGATCGATGAAGTCATCTTTCAAGTAAATATAAAAAGGCTCCGGCTAGTTAAGGTGAACTGTAGTTTTACTGCCAAGAATATCTTATCGACTAATTTAGAAAGTTGATTTTGAAGCACATCTGAAGCCTGATCGTTATTAAATTTCAGATTCTTAAAAATGATTTCCATATGAAGTAAGTTTGTGAAGAGTTTGTAATGTTTCGCCACTGTGTTTATATGAATGCAACTGTTGAGGTAACCTCTTTTACTAGGCATGGCCCTCTCAACGCAGTCCAAAGTATAGATTTTTCTTACCTTACAGCGGAAAGAACGATTTAGACATCTCTATCTCCAAGATTAGGCACTCAGATATAGAAATTAGTGAGATTTGCAATCCATGTACGTTCCACGTGGAAGAATCCATTCAGAGATCCATCTGTACATTTTGCATTCCATTGGAAAATATTATTTCTTCAACAAAATGTTTATGAAATGAAAATATGTTACCTGCAAACTAGTATTTATTATGCCTATAAGTAGAGAACTCGAGCAAAATAGTAGACTTTTTATGTTATGAAAGAATGACTACAACAACGGTTATCGGATAAATCAAGACCTTGACTTCTTGAACAAAGCAAGAACAACAATTGTACCAGGATAATATGAGCTCATCTTTTATTATTTCGAGGATTCTTCTCAACTGGTTACAACCTGAACGATAAAAAATATGAATTACATTACATTAAAGATTTGAACATACTTTTCCACGATCACAAGGAGTAATTAGTAGGAGGTAAAAGTAACATTATTCCGGAATGATTTAACTAGTTAAGAGTTACAAACACTGACTATTTATAGAATAATTAGACAATTAGGCTTGGAAACAAAAAACAGTTTATTAATGGGAAGAATTGCACGAAATTTTTAAAGAAACATCTCTCTTCTCGATCCTTTAAGTCACTGAATCGCCTGGTGACCATACGGTGCAGGTTATACAAAGAGTTGACTCGTCTGAAGTTCTTTGAAGAATGTCTATCTACCTGCTGTTTTCCACGCCAGTTTTTCAAGTCTGTGAGGCTTTGCAAGTTGCCACCATCGCCAAAAAATCTCCGACGCGTCGCGAAATCCCAAATTGAGTACACCAAACAACTCATTTCTAGATTAAAGGAAGAAGCTAGTGGCTTTGATCATATCTTAAACGAAATGAACTTAGTTTGTAGAATCAAGTTCACCAATTTTATTCGAGAGGTTCAGAATAAAACAAGCGTAAAATTCGAGAAAACTTTATCGAAGACGCTGGTTAAAGAAACACTATGTGAAGGAATTCCGGAGAATCCTGATAAATTCGTATTCAACTTGTCAAGTTATAAACTGAGTCCGATAAAAACAGAAGCACTTTCACTAGGATTCAGATTCCACATTCCAACAAAATTTACCAACAAAATTGATGTCGAAACCCAGTTCGAAGGTTTATACTATCAACTAGCATTAAACAGTGCAATTGTGCGTTATCTACTGGACACTGGTCATATTGTAAACAACCTGAAGTCATTCAAAATTATCAACAAGCCAAAGAAACCTAGCTTGCTACGCTTTGCTGAAGCAATTGCTATCAAACGACTTAAACCAAATTTATCTACACAGAAAGAGACAGTGGTGAATCTTGCACCGCCCTGGTGATAACAAAAGTACACAACTTTTATGAGTCACCGTTTTTCTTATTTAGAAGGCTCTACTCTCTCTTCTAAACATGACTCACCCTATCTTGTTCTTTTCTTTTTCTATTGGCTATTAGATAAAACATCCTCCTTAGTTACGTAATCTACTTTTTGGTTATGCTATTTCTAGCTAAACCTTGTTTCTATACACACATATATATACACAACTCTGTTTTTTGTTTCCAAGCCTAATTGTCTAATTATTCTATAAATAGTAAGTGTTTGTAACTCTTAACTAGTTAAATCATTCCGGAATAATGTTACTTTTACCTCCTACGAATTACTCCTTGTGATCGTGGAAAAGTATGTTCAAATCTTTAATGTAATGTAATTCATATTTTTTATCCTTCAGATTGTAACCAGTTGAGAAGAATCCTCGAAATAATAAAAGATGAGCTCATATTATCCTGGTACAATTGTTGTTCTTGCTTTGTTCAAGTTTATTAATGGGAAGAATTGCATGAAACCTTGACTTCTGTCTGGTGAATATATAAAGTACCCTTCAGTGGTAAGGAAGCATTAAATAGTCAAAACATTTGTTTATCAATTACGGCTACTTTAAGTGTGTTTTTTCTAAGAAAACGGAGGCTGTCATTAGACTTCTTACTGATTTACTGAACTTCCACGAATTGGTGAAAGTTAAAAAAAGTATTCATAGGCTAAGTAACTCTTCAAATGATAAACACTTGTTGATAACGTTGGTTAGCAATTCGTTTCGAAATTGGTGAGTAACAGTCAGTGAAACTGGTATAACCTTAGTAATAATAATAATGGTAATGATAATAGCTCTATTCTCAACAATATGTTAATACACAATAAAGAATTCTCGGAGTAATAAAGTTTTTGTATTTCCCAATGAATGAAAAACAAAACGATATTGTTTTTACTGACGTTTCGCTATTTAATGCTAATAGCTTTATCAAAGTATTATTAAACACGAATTTACAAAATCTCACCCCTTAACTCTTTGTTATTTATATGCTGAGATTTTGTAAATTCCGGTTTAATAATACTTTGATAAAGCTATTAGGATTAAGTAGCGAAACGTCAGTAAAAACAATATCGTTTTGTTTTTCATTCATAGGGAAATACAAGAAAACCTTTATTATAATGAATATCATATACCCAATGCCCAAATTTTTTCAAACTGTTAAAAGTGAACTTGGTTCGGACATATAGAATTCTCGGAGTATTTCCCGCAAAATATTTACTCTGAACATAGAAACTTCAAGTAAAGTGTAGTCAATAGTATATTATATGATGCACCGCTGTTCGATACTGAAATAAGATTCAAACCTCTAAAATACTTTCCTGTCATTTTCTTTCGAAGAGCAAAGCGATTTTAAAATGTTCACCGGTAAATATTGCTGTCTAAGGATGTAACCGGAAAGTGGGAACAGTGAGAATCGAGGAAATGTTGATTCATTTGGTTCCCTTGATAAATTTAGATAGAGAAAGAAAGACAAGAATTGCAGTATAAAATGATATCATTCTATTTCACAGGATCTCATCATCTGCAGACCACCTACGACAGAGCCAGGAAGTTATGTTCACCGAACAAGTTAGAGGAAGAATTAGGTTTCTTTGAGAAATGCCTAAGAGAAAATGGATACCCTAAGGGATTTATACAGAAGTATAGTAGAGAAAAAGATAAGAAAGAAAAAAAGCCCAACTGTATAAAAAAGAAAGTGTTTATTTGTCTCCCATTCAAAGGAGATGCAGTTTCACAAAAGACTGACAAAAGAATGAAAGGGCAATAAAGAAGCTTCCCTGCAGCAAAACTCATAACATTACACAGCACCACTTCTTCTATAAGCCACTAAAAACTGGATAAGTACCCTGCTGATGTCACCTTCAACGGCGTTTATGAGTTTATGTGCACTTCCGGGTGCAAGTACATTGGAAGGACAGAAAAGAAGGCTTCTATCCAGTTTTCCGAGCACATCCCAAGAAATTTCAGCCCAAGCAGAACCGCATATTCGTAAATTGCAAGTGCCAGATACCTTATGGATATGTGTTATTTCGTCGAGATTTCCAAATCCTTCAAAATATTAAACATACAAAGGACAGCAGATTTACTACGATTTGCCGAAGCGATAGCAATCAAACGATTCAAACAAGACTTGTTCATACAGCAAGAGAGTATGATTAATCTCTCACTCCCTTGGTAACTGAATTTTGATTTTGATTACATTAGTTAGTCACCTAATTCAGTGATCTCAACTCATTGAACAAATTTTAATCTTGTAAACTGTAACCGCTTTTGTTTTTTGAGTTGCTATGTGAACCTACAAGCTAATACTGTTCTGTTAATTAATTTTTTCTGTTTTCTGTCCTACCTCTCCTCCCCTCTTTCCAACTTTGAAAGCGTATAAATTAATGATGAAAATTTAAACTAAAAATTGTAATGCTTTCATTTTGGATGCGTCAGTTTTATGGTATCTCTTCTCTACTACCACTCCAGCATTAAAGTATGTTATTATCACGTATATGACCAATCTAATTTCAGTTAGGTGTGCGTCGGTGGCATAGCGGTTAGGACGCTTGCCAACCATACACATGGTCCGGGGTTCGACCCCCGGCCGACGCACTCCTTTACCTCTATAAACCAGTAATAAAGCTGGTAAAGAGGAAAGGTTGGGCATGAGGCTAGCAACCCCATACTGTAAAAATTAATACTGCTACAGAAATTTCAAGCCTCTAGCTTGGAGCCCTATGTTCCACTGGGAACGTGAAGGAAAAAAGAAGAAGAATTTCAGGTAGTCTGCAGCTGATGAGAATCTGTGAAATAGAATGATGTCATTCTTTCTCTGTTGAAATTTTGATTCATTTTCCTGAATGGCAATTCAGGTTGCCACCGTTTGATGCATTCAGGTAACTTACTCCTTAAATCAAACGTCACATCGGATAGAGAAATAGACAGAGTAAAGTCTTTTTAGGTGTTTTCCTTTTTCCTCTCTCATACTATCGCCAAAATACTACAAGTGTTGTAAGTAGGACGAATAATTTCACAAAACTTTTATAATATTATACACAAGTAATATATTTGTTCATTTATTTCCATTCAGGCTTCAATTGCTAATTATACTGAGCCAATTAGTCGACAAAATTCAAAACTTAGTGAAATCTCTGCACAAGAATTATCTCAAGCCTTTTTGGATAATTTAACAGATAATGTATCAGTCTACTTGGAGGATATATTAGATGAAGTGTTACTGTACACCAATGAAAGAAACAAGGCTGATGTTGATAATGACACTACTGGCAATGAAGGTGACGTTATAGTTGTTGACAGTGCTGTCAAAAATTCCAGTCATAACACTTAACATTGACCTTGAATTCTGTCTACTATTTGATTATGTCCAATGGTTATTTTGATTGGTATTGTTGTTGGTGTGATTATCATCATTACTGGTTGTGTTGTTCGCTTGATTAATACTTTGTTGAACTAATCAATAACAGTGGATGTATAAAAATGTTGTTTGATAAACATCCTATATAGAATATTTATTTATGTTAGTTTTATTGTCACAAGTCCTTGGGATTGTTTTTGTTTACCTATGGAAAAGCTGTGAGAATTGAAAAAAAGAGATTGAAATAATAATGTCATGAAAACACCTAGTTTCTAGAGAAAAAAGAGCAGCATGAGAAGTGTGAGATACTGCTGTTGTTGATTGCTCAATGTGCTTAAAATAATTCTCATTCTAAGACATTAAAACTTGCTTCGAAACGTTATAACACAAGTTAGAAATGATAGACTCTTGCATCTTGAGCTAATGACTGATGTGTGTCTGATGGTTGGAAGTGTGAATAGTCACTGTGGAAGTCTTCAACTATGTATAGAACAGCTAGTCAGATGCATTTTGACTTTTATATGCTTTATGAATATCTTTTCTAGATAATATCAACAGTGAAAGCCACTCAACAATTTTCCAACAAAACATATAGCGTTTGTATAGAGGAATAAACCTTTCTTGGAGTTAAGAACACAATATTCAGCGAAGAGACTCTTTTCAACGAATTTATTATCAATCTGTACAATCGTATATATATGGTTTTTAAAAATTATATCCGGTAAGGGAATTAGGTCAAAAGTGTGAATACATGAAATAATAATAGTAATAGTAGTATGAAATGCAATTAAAGTATTTGTGATTATAATCATAGTTTAATATCAAGTGGCAAAATAATTAATGTCATATATAGAATAATACATAAGGTGTATAGATTTTGGAAAGGGGTACATAATTATAGAGTTAGTAGACGAATATTAAATGTTACATAACATAGTGTGAAATTTGATAAGATAGAATTCAATATTGTAAAAATAAAAATATAAAAATTAATAATTTTGGGCTTAAAATGACAAATGGGTCAAGTGGAAAAGATTCAGAGTGAGAATAATAATAATAATAATGATAACAATATTAATAATAATCGTAGTAATAAGGGAAAGGTACATATAATAACTAGATAAATAAAATAAATAAATGTCTATCCCTCTACGGCCAAGGCAGAAGTAGGGATTGTACATACTTCTTTTGTACACAAAGGTCTGGCTTAAAGTCATGAATTGCCAAGGCCTCATATGTCTTTAGAAGTCTATGACGAAGAAAACGCGGGAAGTTACCATGGATTCTATATATGATCTTAAAATCATGGTCAGGGTTGAGAGAGTGACAGAAGTCGATCAAGTGTTCCAAAATAGAGCTTCGCACACACTTCCTTTCTGCTTTGTAAAACCATGCTGGAGTGTCTATATATCGACTGAGCTGTGATAACACAACGCCATTAAAATCATTCTGAAGTGAAGTGTGTTTCACTAGCTCTCAAGACCCCAGAAGTATAGTACTTTTTCTTCTCTTCTCCTGCTGACTTGGTCACAACTAAAACGCTAAGTATTTACTCAAACAAGAACATTAAATTGTTGGTCACTGACTTAAAGTTCAATGTGACAGGAAGGGAGAGTGAGTTGTTTTCAACAAGATAGGAGTCATTTGGTTGGAGGAAACTATGTCAGTCGCCTAAGTGACACAAATGTTACAGAATGAACACAATTACGATATTCTTTCTAGATTTTTTAGGCTCTACTAGGGTACGAATTCTAGAAAATTGTTCAGTTATGTGTAGCACTACATGCCGTCACACACAAACATACGACAGAAATAATCTTGAAATCCGAGGTTAGCAAGGTAGAGAAAGAATGATAACACAAGCTTTGTTCCCTGAATTTACTGAGAGTATGTGCAACAGGAATGATTCAAAACCTGTCTCGGATATTTGAAAAATTCCACTATAATAGCCAAGTTTCAAAATGGTGGAGTTATGGACATAGAGGTTATGAACAACATAATATGTTCAGTCAGCTGAACAGTCTAATGTCGAATTATACATTACCGCAGTACGATAAATTTGTCTTTCCACAGAGGCGGAGATTAGAACTGTCTGTTATACAAATAAATGATATTTACACAGATAAGAACATATGTGTTTATATGAACTGTGGTCAAGATTTAATCGAATAGTTCCACAATAATTGGTCGCTGAACAAGCAATAGACATGTGACAATTTTATTTTTAAAATTTTCAGCGAAACTGGAATGAACAATTCCACCAGTTCGTTTGGTAAACAGGTCCGAACTTCTTCAGGGAAATTAATCAAAATTAAAATAACTAAGGTATATTTATGAAAAGACATATTTTGTCTTTAAAATCTTTGTCCGATCTTATTTTTCATGAATAAACATCAAAACTTAATAAACTAGATTGCATTAAACTGCGATCAAACTTTCACCATAGACTTATAAATACTGACCTATTTTTGTTATTAACTGTAAACAGCGTGTACTTTTGCATCAGACTTTTGTAATCACGTTCAACTTAGGTTCACGTTCATGGGTAACTGAATAGAAAAAAAATATTTGTAAGCCATATACAATGGTGTGCGTGCATACATGCGTGTGTGGGGAAACAGTTACATAACATTTGTTAACCTTTCCATATAAAGATATAAAAAATCGAGAATATAGATTAAGAATATAATAAATTAGTGACACATATCCATTTTTGTTTTAACGAGTTGATCACGGATTGATATCAGTTGAAGAACCACTGAAAACCAGCAGGGAGTACTGGATAGCTGTTTCATCCTAGTTTAGGAATCATCGGCAGTACACACCCACTGGGGTTCGAACCCAGGACCTTCCGGTTACAAGGCAAGCTCCTAGACCATTCAGCCACTGGGACCCGATTCAATGGCCAACACATGAATTCTAACTTCTACCAATTCGTGATTTAGCGCGACTGGCACCGACCAATGTCATCGGTGGGAAATCCATCCTCACACTTGACTGGATGGACCTTACTGGTGACGATTTCTCACTAGAACTCCGGGAAACTTCATCCTGTAGCATTTCACTAGCAAGCATCAGATTAATTTTCTATAGTTTGGTTTGTAAGGGTTAGTTTTGTTTTTACGAGTTGATCACTGGTTCTCTAACTGATATCAATCTATGGTCAACTCGTAAAAACAAACCAGCTATAGAAAATTTCTATTTTTATTTATTAATCAGGACTTGCCATGCATCAGCTGACATCATACCATCACGCCTGTTCAAGATTTAGGGATTCATTCATATATGTAGGGCTTCTGCGTTCGGTCTTAACTTATATGAACATAGATAGTAGAATAACAGCCAGTTAAAGGTGGAATGTCTTAAAACATTGAGATGTTATGAAAGAAAGGAAAAAGTGAGTAGAATCATTTATGTACAGTTTTTCGTCTAAAAATATGAGGACGTAATGGAGTACAGTTACTATGTCAAGAAGGGAAGAAAAGTTTAGAGAACAGGTAGTCATATAGTCCCATCAAGAAATGCCTGTTGGCATTGTGTAATTAACAATAAAGTGAAACAAGCAAGCCAAAAAATAGCACAGTTCATATGCACAGTGATCAAGATTTGACCAAATAGTTAAAAAATAATTGGGCGCTAAGTGAGAAGTAGATAGACATTTGTAGAAAATTATATTTGTAAAGTCTCAGCGAGATTGAAATGAGTAATTCCAACGTTTCGTTCGGCAATCTGGTCCGAACTTCTTCAGGGAAATTAATCGAAATTAACATAACAGAGGTTTATATGTAAAAGGAACATCACTTGTTTTTAAAAATTTTGTCCAATCATGAGTCATTCAACAAGTATAATAAACAAAATTTTATGAGCTGTGATCAAAATGTGACCTCGGACTTACAAATATTGGTCTACCATTGTTAAACACTTTAAACAGAGTGTGTATGTGTGTGTGGGTAAACAGATGTAAAACATTTCTTAACGTTCCCATAAGAAGATATGGACAGTCGAGAATTTTCACGAAGTATTAATAATTAGTGATACATATCCATTTTTTTATTTATTAATAAGGATTTTCTATGCATCAGCTAACATCACACCTTCATGTCTGTTCAAACTGTTAGTATCTAGAATTTTATGATTAGACGTATTTTCAAAATTATAGTGTTTAGGATTATAGTTTAGTAGAAGCACCCTGTCGGACTTATTGCTTTGTCTTCTTTCTGAAGATTGAGCTGCTTTATTCGACCTACTGAAGTTGTCAGGTGACTTGACAGCTACGGATTTAGGATATGCATTCTGTTGCAGACAACGGAGAGTGAAAACACGATGATTGTGCCAATTACACAGTTTCTTTGTTAATTTATTTCAACTGCAAAAAAAATTAAAAATGAACTGTCGTCAAGATTTGACCGAAAAGTTCTAAAATATTTGGGCGCCGAGTGAGAAATAGACATTTGCAAAAAATTATATTTGTAAAGACTCAGCGAGATTGAGATGAGTAATTCCAACGTTTCGTTCGGCAAACTGGTCCGAACTTCTTCAAAGAGATTAATCGAAAGTAACATAACAGAGGCTTATATGTACAAAAAAGAAATCTCTTTTTTTTTTAAAAAACTTTGTCCAATCATATTGGTCATCATACAGGCATCAAAATATAGTAAACAAAAGTGCTTGAACTGTGATGAAAATTTGACCTGACTTACAAATATTAATCTACTTTTGTTATACACTGTAAACAGTGTGTACTTTTTCAGCAGATTTGTAGTGATTACGTTCGACTAAAAGTTCATGGTCATAGATAACTGAATCTGAAAAGTAAATATGTAAATGCGGTATACAGTGGTGTGTGTGCATATGTGTATGCTGCAACAATTGTAAATCATTAGTTAGCCTCTCCATAAGAATATATAGATAATCGGGAGTTTAGATCAAGTATGGTGGAAAGTGATACATATCCATTTTTATTTATTTTAATC